CCACGCCTCCTGCACTATTGTCTGTGTCCATGGGCTGTGCATATATGCATGTAAATTCTTTGGTTAATCTCTTCCTGCCCCCGCCCCCCTATTTTTGGTATTTCAGTCCATGTCTACACTGGAGGTAGTTCTATTGTGGATTAGCACTCCTTTCTTGGAAGCAGCATGTGCATATTTACCTCATCTCAAGGAATTCCATTGCGGTGTCTCATTCAGTAACAATCAATCTGCTTAAAAGCTCCCCTCCCCATCTGCTTTGTTCCCATAAAGAAAAGTTCCACCGAAAGAAATCGGTAGAGTGGAGGACTTTGTATATCCTGTTCACTTTGTAGTTGTTTCTCTAAAGACATGATTTCCTTGGTATAGTTCTATGCATTTGTTACCTAAATAACTTGAAATATACTTAATAAAATGTTTTCCAAATGTGTTCACGGTGTACTTTTTTCTAAAAGTCTTTGCTGACAGAGAACCTGATCTTGCATGTTAATTGAAACAAAATTGCCTGAGTCCAAAGTTGGTCTTTTCCCAGGGTCAGCAAAATGTCTTTAGGCCCAAAGTTACTTTTAGACTTTGTTCATGAGCCTACTTGCAGATTGGTAGCCAAGCAGAAAATGTTCTGAAGCATTCTGTGCATGTAAAATATGCCCCCCTCCCCCAAGTCAACAAAACATTTTGAGAATTACGTATAATTTGCATCCAAAATGGACAAATGGAAGTGGCATTATGTGTATGTTTTAGAGCCGTTTTCGTTTGGTATTTTACACACATTACCCCGTCCCACGTGACAGAATTTTTGGACATAATGCAGTTTTTCCCTCACCTCCAAAAATCACCCATCATTCTACACGTTCTATTTTATATGTTGTTAGTTCCCTGTGCTTGTCATAAAGAACTTGTTCCAAGTCGGACATGCCTGTAAATGGACAGACTGTCCAGTGAACATCATGGAGTGGGTTAAATAGAAAGCAGATTGGCCCAATGTGCTGAAAATGGAAATGCAGAGATTTGAAAAATGTTAGGTATGTGAAAAATTTTCAGTAAAAAATAAAAATGAAACTGCTTAAGGTTCTTAATATTGTAAAATTTTAGATTCTTAAATATATTTTACTAGTTTTCATGAAATATACAGTGGAAGTTACAGCCATATGTGTTAAAATTTTATACCTTTGGTCCAAGATGTTTTCAAAAAATTTCCAACATTTCTAAGGTGGTAGAATCCTAATTTTGTACAGTCAGGATAGATTTGCTGACATGCACATCGTGAATGGTTTTTAGTCCTGTGCTGTATCTATACTTTCCTCCATAAACTGGTGCAACAATATACATGACATTTCTAGATGCCACGCAAGAGGGTGTGTTAAAAGAATCTTAACAAATACTTAAAATTTTTTTAAATATGTTTTTATTGATTTCAGAGAGGGGGGGAGAGAGAAACATCAATGAGAGAGAAACATTGATTGGCTGCTTCCTGCACACCCCCCACTCGGGATTGAGCCAGCAACCCAGGCATTTTCCCTGAATGGGAATCGAACTGTGACCTCCTGGTTCATGGGATGACGCTCAACCAACTGAGCCACACTGGCTGGGAAACAAGGAATCTTTTTACCTATAGTCCCATAATCCAAGAATCCTTATAGTAGGAAAAAAAAAACATGGAAAAAATAACTAAAGAATTATTAGCTCTCCATTATTACCCTACATGAGCATTTTGTTAGCGCAATTGCCCAAGGCAGTGACATACTTTGTTCCTAGAAGGCTGGGCTAAAACCAAACCAGATTAAACACACTTCCTACTGCTGGAGTAGAAGCTAGTTTTAACTTCCCCTTTTTTTCCAGTTCACCCAGGATAATAGTTCAGGGTCACTTGGGCCCCTACTGTGTCTCCTGCTCTCTAGGTAAAGGTTACACTGCCTAGCCCTTCAAATGCACCAAAGAGTTAAGTGGAACACTGACCATACTTCCACTTTCAACCAACTAAATTTGCTCTCAGAAACATAACTTTTTTTTTTTTTTTAAATATATCTTTATTGATTTCAGAGAGAGGAAAGGAGAGGGAGAGAGAGAGAAACATCAATGATGAGAGAGTCATTGATCGGCTGCAGCCTGCAACCCGGGCATGTGCCCTGACTGGGAATCGAACCC